TGTCGCGAACTGCGCGACAAGCTGCTTCGATGCGGAGGGTCAATCTCTGAAGACGCCTTCGTGACAGTCATCATTGGTGGGCTTGGTCCTCAGTGGCGCGCCACCAAAGCCATTCTTCGAGCCCACGGAAGAATCTCTGAAGCTGCACTCTGCGCCGAAATACATGCCGAGCAGCAAGATATGGACCTGCAGGAAGAACGACACAGGAAGAAAACGACAGTATCAGAGTTCGCATTCCACACTCAACGACGACACAGCAATTATAACAACCGACAGCAGCAACCGAAGATAGTACCTCCCTTCTGCCACATCTGCAAGACTTCAGGGCACCCGCGCACACACTGCCCGAATCGTCAGCAATCAACGGCACCACAGCGACAACTTCGACCTTCAAGCTCCCAAATGGCTTCAACACAAGCAAGTGCGACGACCACTATTCAAGCTTCAACGACTTCACCCGGACAACCTGCACAAGGAGCAAGAAATATAATCAACTGCATGACGAAGATAACCGATTCATGTACAACCGAATCACCACCACACTACTCACCGGAAGAAGAGCTTGACAACAGAACGCCTCGCCGTGAGCTACTCCAGCCGAATCCAACGTACGCCGCCATCGCTCAAAGTGAACCGTCCGGCCAAGACACCTGGTTCTTGGACAGTTGCTGCGGGCAACACATGTGCTCGTCCGGGCGTTTCGTACAACGCGAACATCGACTCCAACGGGAAGTGATCATCACGGTTGCCAACAACCAAAACCTGCGCACACGAAGACAAGGAGTGGTACAGCTTCAGTCAAGAGAAACAAATGTCATACTGCACATGTATAAGGTACTCATCGCTGAAGGACTCGGCTACAACTTACTGAGCGTTAGCCAGTTGATGGCGAAAGGAATTCATCTGGAAGCCGACAGCACGACCCAGGAGTTCAAACTTTACCACGGGAGAGGCGGTCTCTACATCGGGAAAGCAGTGCTGAAGAACAACGTCTTCGTCCTCGACTTCGTTCCTGACCTGGGCACTGCAGACAGCGACGCCATCGTGAATTTCACTGACTGGACACACCCTCCGGATCTCGACCCCGACTTCAGCCCAGGAGGCTTCTGGTACTCGCACACCATTCCTGAAGCAGAAAGAACACGAGCATTAGCAACAATTCGACAATCGGCAGCAGTAACAACATCGGCAGCAGCAACAACATCAGCAGCAGTAACAACATCAGCAGCAGTAACAACATCGGCAGCAGCAACAACATCAGCAGCAGCAGGAACAACGACACCAGTCACAGTCGACGAAGCACCACCAACACCCGCGAAACAGCTGAATCCGACTCAACGTGAAGTCCACCGAAGCGCCAACCTCGTCGCCAGCTTTTACTCCAACTCCGACGCATATCAGCGTTCACCTGGACACCGTGCCTCTGAAGAGATCTGGCACGCACGAACAGGACATCCAAGCAACACGGTTTTGAATAACACGATAAGAGCAAGAGTCCTTGACAAAGATTCTCTACTTCTACCCGATGGCAGAGAACTCCAGAAGGCACGAGGGACTTGCCTTATATGTCCCGAAGCTGACTTACCTCATCGACCGTTTGCTTCACATCACAACCCGAGCGCTCCAGCGTACGCACCACTCGAAAAAGTCTACAGCGACATCCTCTACAATCGCGAGCCAGGACAAGTCAACTACAACTACACCATCACCTTCATCGACGCCGCCACTCGATACGTCTGGCATCGCAACCTACCCAGCCGCGACATGGCGCTCGCAGCATTCGCCGCCTGGCTACCGATAGCAGAGAGAGAGTCTGGAACACAACTGAAAAAATTCCAGTCAGACGGAGGTGGCGAGTACACCTCTCACCGCTTCAAGCAGTTCTTGGCGGAAAGGGGGATCAAGCAACTCCTCTCCCTTCCTTACGCACATCAGCAGCAAGGTGTTGCAGAACGACTGAACAGGACCCTGCAGAACAGCATGCGCAAACTATTACGTGGCATGCGGCTACCCAACCACCAGTGGCCAGCAGCAATGGACCACGCTGTCATGCTACACAACTTGTTGTCGTCGTCGTCACTCCCGAACAACGCATCACCGCATCTGCTGTGGACAGGGAAGCAGGGCAGCACGAAAATGTTACGAGTTTTCGGGTGCATGGTACAGTACAGACCCCCAGAAGCACGAGCGGGAAGATTTTCGCAACGGGCACAGTGGGGACTACACCTCGGCATCGAGAAAAATTACAACGCATGGAAAATCTTCGACGTCCACACAAAGGAAACAGTAGCAGCACGTGACGTGATCTTCTACGAAAGACTCACCCTTCAGACGTACCTCGCCAACTTGCACGAGAATCGGGACCTCACCAGTGGTTTTCGTGGTGACCGAGCCTTCGCGTCAGCAGCGGACGAAGCAGACTGGGATGAACAGAACGTCGACAACGCCTCAGAAGAAGCCGGACCTCTCCCATACTGCTCCGTCGACGTGCCCATGGATGAGGATAATCCTCGCGACAGTAACAACGCCGAAATCTTCTACCGTTTCGCCGACGATGGTTACGTAACACCTGTGACAGTCAACACCAACGAAGCAGAAAGGGTAGGGCCAAATTTCATGCCCGACCCAGAAACGGGAGACGAAGCAGCTTATCCCGAGGATCCAGAACTCCCTCGATACTCACAGACTGGGCTGCAAATCCTCGGCCTCGTCACCGCAGTCCACGGGAACACACGCAGCTCGCTTCCTAAGGAGCCTGCAACGGTTCAGCAGGCTCTGGGGGGGGAACACAGGGAGAAATGGCGTGAAGCCATGGATAGAGAACTGAAGGCATTAGAGGAACGCAACACTTGGAAGGTTGTTCCCGTAAGCGTGGCACGGAACAAAACCATCCTTACCGGGAAATGGGTCTTCCGCATCAAGACGAAAGCAGACGGCACGATCGAAAAATTCAAAGCACGCTGGGTCGTACGTGGATTCGACCAAGAGCAAGGACGAGACTTCACCGAGACCTTTGCTCCAGTCAGCCGCCACACGTCACTCCGAATTCTCCTCGCCATTGCCGCCATGAAGAAGAAGAAGTTACGGCAGATCGACGTCGCGAATGCCTTCCTCTACGCACCTGTGGATGCAGAAATCTACGTCGAGCTCCCGCACGGTTCCCACGGCGAACCCAACCGAATCTGTCAACTACTTAAGTCGCTCTACGGGATCAAGCAGGCACCGCGACTGTGGCAGCAGTACCTGCACGCCCGTCTCATCCGCATCGGCTTTAGTCAACTACCTCACGACCAAGGCATGTACCGCCTCACTAAGGGAAGCGACTACGTTCTCCTGATCGTCTACGTGGACGATCTCCTCTACATTGGGTCAACCGACGGCATCGCCACGTGGTTCGAAGGAGAGCTCCAGAAAGACCTCACGCTCACGGTCTCCTCCACCGTTACACAGTACCTCGGGCTCAACATCCGCGAAGAAGAAAACGCCATCTATCTAAGCGCCGAGAAATACGCCGACACCATCGCGAACGCTTCAGCCTCACACCAAGCGCCATCTCCACGCCCTACCGCTACACATCAGGAACCGAGAAGGAACGAACTACTCTACTCAAGCCCGCCGGCATACGCGACTATCAGAAGAAGCTCGGATGCCTGCTATTCGCCGCCGTCACCTGCCGTCCTGACTTATCCTACTCCGCAAGTCAGCTCGCCACCTATCTCAAGAAGCCTGAAGCTGAACACCTGGCGGAACTTGATCGCGCTCTCCACTACTTCGTCAGCACCGCGACGATCGGGCTAACCTACCACAAGAGCGCAGCTACACCGACTAAGCTAATCGGCTACGTCGACGCCGATCACGCCGGCGACACCGACAACAGGCGCTCACGCACCGGCTATGTCTACCGCCTTGAGCCTATCGGTCCTATCTCCTGGCAGTCGAGCAAGCAGGAGTTAATCGCACTATCTTCAGCAGAAGCAGAATATATTGCACTCTGCTCAGCCACCAAGGAGGGACTTTACCTTCGCGAACTACTGGAAGAAGCGAAGCTAGCCGAGTTACCCAGCTTCACCGTGTTCTGCGACAGCCAGTCAGCAATTCGCATCGCCAACAAAAACGGCTTCGCAAACAGGACGAAACACATCGCCCTGCGCTATTTCTTCGTGAAGGACGAGATAGAAAAAGGGAAACTCGATCTGTCATACTGTCCAACATCCGAGATGGCAGCCGATTACTTGACCAAGAAACTCGGCAAGCAGAAGTTCGAATACTGCATGATGCTGACTGGACAAGGCCACGTCACCAGCAGTAACACTCCAGAAGCGAAGGGGAGTGTTGGAAACAATAAGTCCTAAGTGCGCTTCTGTCGTATCAAAATCCAAGGTACCAAGCGAAGCAGTCCCAATCGAAGCATCGAGTCAACCTCGGAGGTTAGGGTAACCGCCTGGAGGTTACGAGAAAGTCAAAGGTCGCTGACCTTTGACTCGACAATTACAGCGCGACAGTTAAGGACACACAACTGACTCGTTACAGAGCAGTTGCCCGAGTCGCGCTATATCGAACCGCAACAGCAATACAGTTATCTATCTATTCCCTGTACTCTTATATAAATCCTTGTATTTGCTTGTTTAATTCAATCAACTTTGCTCTCACACACCAGTGCAAGGTCGGTTCAAATTCTTCACTAAACGCTTCCGCTATTACAACTACTTCACCTAGAGTTATCCCTTGCAAAGATCCCAAGGGGCTATCTCAGCCCAACACCATGCAGATTATCTACATGTTGGCATGGCCGGGCTTTGCGACAAAGGCATTGCTATATGCCTGTACCCTGTCGTTTGTGCATGCGGTGAGCATGTCGTGAATGAATGCACCCCAGTTTTCACAACATGCTCCTTTTTCGGTTCCCCGCAATCCCATGTCATCCTGTCTCCTATGCCAGCCATGCCTTCCTCCAACCCTAGCCTTCCCCTCAACCCTGTTACACCTTGTCCCCTCCCCCTTCACGTCCACTTTCGGATCCATGGATGCTCTGCAGAGACGATGGAAAGGAGCAACACGAACACAGAAAGCAGAATGGGACAAAGGACAATAGAAGCTGGTCGCGATGACCCATGAGCAATGTCAGCTATGTCACCCCACCAGACTACTGTGATCCAACACCTTCTGAGTGAAGCATCCTCTAATCCGTTACCGCATTAGCTCGTTCTGAGAACTGTGCACCTACCACTTGGGTACTAGCACACCAAGTCATGCAACTCTTTTGTTGCCAGATATTTCTCGAGCACGTTTCACCGTGGGACCTTCTCCAACATCCGTTTCAAACCCTCTGTTTCCTCCAATGCCCCAACCATAACTCCCCAGCACCACTTCCCACCGTGGCGTACCTAGCACTTGGCTGGCCGTGAGTCGTTTGGCAGGGCACCTCTCCAGCATGCGCAGCACGAGGTCCTTTGCCTCCTCCGATACCCCTTTCCACCGCTCAGAGCGCAGCCTCACGGGCTTCTTGAGGATGACATCTGTCACGCTGTGATTGGCCGAGGGCCGGAAGGGTGGCGTACCGCAGAGCATGATGTAGAGCACGACTCCAGTGCTCCAGATGTCGGCTTCGGGGCCGTAGCATCCGCTGATGACTTCTGGTGCCATGTACTCTCTCGTGCCCACAATGTCACTCAGGGGCACACCTGGTGGTGATGGCGGAGGAAGGAGAGAACAAGAGGCGGAATGGTTGGGGAATGGGGAGAATAAAGAGCACATGATGTAGAGCACGGCACACACACTTCAAAACGTTAGCCTGGGGACGCAGAATCTCGTGAAAAAGAGAATGTCAGGAGGGCTCACTGTGTAAGACAAGCCCGTGACACACGCCAACACACACCATACCTTGCTTGAACGCAGAGGCCACCCCGAAGTCAGCAAGCTTGACGGGGGAGTTGGGGCGTGCGTGCAGCAGGAGGATGTTCTCGGGCTTGACGTCACGGTGAATGATGCCCTGCCCGTGGCAGTGCTGCAGTGCTGCCACCACTCCCCTGCACACCAACGCGCACACGCCCTCGCTCTGCCGCCCGTTCCGCCGAATCAAATCGAAGAGCTCGCCGCCCGCACAGAGCTCCATGACAACGTGGATGTTCTGCGAGGAAAGCAAAGAGACAGAGAGCTTTGTAAGTCCTGAAACAAGAATCCTGGGTTCTCAACAAAAGATAGCTCATGAAAAGTTTTCCCATCCCATGCACAACAATGAATCGGCAGCGTTTTGAGGCATTCTGAACCCATGCCATGCATCGCTCACCTCGGCATCTTCAAACACAGCCTTGAGCGTCAGCACGTTCGCATGGCCCCTTACTGCCTGCAGGCATGCCAGCATGCGCCTCACATCGTCCGCATCCTCGCTGGTGCGAATCCCCTTCTTCTCCACTGTCTTGCATGCGTACACCTCGCCAGATGCCACCTCCACACATCTCCTCACCACGCCCAGCTCGCCCTGCCCCAACACCTCCTTCTTTATAATCACAAACGATGCTGCTATATCGGAGTAATCCTTGCCTAGCACGTGGTCCCTTGGGTGGGAGTCAGCCGTAACTGCTGCAGCTTCCTCCTGCTCATGCGCCCAGACATCAGCATGAGCAGCAGCTTTGCAATCAGTGTGAACGTCACCGCCAGAAACGATATCTTCATCTGCATCATCACGAGCAGCAGCATTGTTAACAGCCTTGCCTCCATCGCACCTTTTACTCCTTCGCCTTATAGAACTCCCATCCCTCCTCCCCTCCCGTCCATCCGCTTCCTCCTCTTCCTCGCTCCCCTCTCCCTCTCCTGCTCTCCCCGCTCGCCCTGCCAGCTGCTGCTGATGAAGTGCCACCACACGCTGCAGCTTAGCCAGGTCCTCGGGCCTCTCTTTGGCCAATGCATCCAGCATTCGAAACAGTTGGCCAGATGCATTCCCGCCCACTCCCGTCCCAGCCTCTACCTCTTCTTCCACTTCCTCCTCCTCCTGCTGCTGCCGCTGTGCCACCACCGCAGGGTTGGACTGCTGGGACTTGGCATGCCGGAGCTTGGCAGAGCCATCTGCAGAACGGGAGGACTTAAACGATCTCGACGAGACAGCACCTACAGGGACTTCGTGTGAACCGTCGGATTGAGGTTGCGATGGCTGATGAGTGAGCGAACGCGGTAACCGGGTCGACACCCCACCCGCCCTCTGTCCCATGCACTGAGGTTCGTCAAACCGGCTCGGGGGCTGGTGGGTTGTCAGCGAGCGGGGCAGGCGGACAGCAGATGCTGGAGCGCCGAGGCCCGTGGTGTTCCGGCGAACCACTTCGGTCGCCTCCCCCCCATGCTGCTGGGACTTGACCCTCCGGAGCTTCTCTCGCTCAGGAGCAACCGAATCTCCGTCTTGACACGGGACGCGCCTTGCCTTGGCGGCCGTAGAGCCTTTAATAGGAGACGAGGAGGTGGATGGTGCAGCAAATTGCGCAGCAGAGTGAGCAGCAGAAGAGGAGTCCGGGTTGTGCTGGGAGTATACACGGCGCAACTGGTGGTCCACGTGGGGGGCGGTGGATGGACGCCTCCTGCTCTCTGCCCCACCTGTGGGACGAGTTATGGTTACCGCACCTATGTCCCTTAGCTGCTGCTGCTGCTGCTGCTGATTGGGACGATGGCTGTGCTGGGTGTATCCCAGACGAGAAGCAGCAGCACCATCATCTCCGCCCTCCCCGTCCTCGTCTCCCTCAGACAGCCCACCGTCTGACTCTGCTCCCACGTCCTCACCATCGCTGCACCAGCCGTGGGTGACAGTGGGGGCATCCATGCAGAACACCTGCCTCAAGCGCCTCCGCCTGCTCACCGCTACGGTACCTCCCTCTCCACCGCCCCCACCTGCACCTCCTGCTGCTGCTGCCTTGGATTTATTCAATAACTTCTGTCCGCTTCCCGCTGCTATTGCTCCCTCCTTGTCCTTTCGCGAACTCGTTCTAGAGTTCCTTATTCCTTTGGATCCGCTTGCTTGCCCTTGACTCACCCCTGCTCCTCCTTGCCCTTGCTCACACGCTCCTAACTCTCTCCCACTCTCCTTCCCTGCCTTCGTATCCACTACCCTGTGGCCCATAACGCACCCGCTCCTGTCCTGTAGTGCGTGTCCGCCGAAGGAAGCACTGCGCCTGTGCGCCCCACTGGGTTTACAGGTGCGGGAAGCAGACGCAGGAAGGCCGGGTGGGAGAGCCTTGGCCCTGGTTGCAACAGCGTCAGCACCGGCACCAGCAGCAGTGGCGGCGGCAGCAGAGGTTGCGGTGCTAACAGCCGTGGATGCTGCAGCTCGGGTGGCAGCAGAGGTGCCATGGAAGGTGCGTGTGTGGGTGAGAGAAGAAGCGGCAGATGGTGCGATGGAGCCTGCAGCACGGCCGCCGAAGCTGGCCGATTGGGTGAGTCTCCCCTTGGGATCCCTGCTGCTGGGGAGCAGTGCAGCTGCTGAAGCACTAGCAGCCGCAGCAGCATCGGCATTCGCCGGAGCAGCAGCAGTTGCCGGGCGTGCATGAGCGCCATGCATGGACGCATCCATACTCACGCCTCGCCTGTGTGATGTGCCTCCCCTGCTGCCCCCCATGCTCTTAGACCGACTGTGCCGATTCTGTTTCTCCCCCGTCTGGCCCTCATTTCCTGACGACCGTGCCTGCTGCACCATCACACTAAACTGCTCTGACTCCCTCCTCCCTGCGGCCTTCTTCCCGAGCTCGCCACCATGCTCTCGCTCCTCCCTGCTTTCCACGTCAGCCCTGCCCTCTGGTAGCCTGTCCCTGCTGTTCTCCTGCAACTGTATCCGCACCATGCTCTCGCCATCAATTCTAATGTGAACCGCCTCCTCGCTCATATCGCCCTCCATACTTGCATATGCTGACTGGTCGTCGCTCTTGCTCCTGCTCCGCCTCTTCTCCCCATCTCTCCGCCTCTTCTCTCCATCTCCCCCTCTCTCTCCCCGTCGCTCTCCACCTTTCCCTTCCTCCCTGCTACTTCTCCTCCTCTCCTTCTCCTTCCGCCTCCTCTCCTCATCTCTCTCCAGCCCTTTCACCATCACCTCCCCTATCCGCCGTTTAAACTCATCCATCTTTCTCTGCTCCGCCTTTACATCCTCTTTATTGCTCGCCTCATTTCCTGTCCTCAGCGCCTTGAGTCTGAGGCGAAAGAGGGACATTTTGCTTCCGAGTACCCCCTCATCCGAGTGCCTCCGCACCTTCAGAGCCTTCAGCCTCTGCTTGAAAACCGCCATTTTCTCACTCCCTCCATTGCACTCCGCCAGCCAATCAGAATCCGCCACTTGGCCACTGGTGGCATCCAAACCATCCTCGCAGCTACTAGATCTGTCGAGCCTTCCTTGCCTGCCTTGCCTTTCATGTGGTGCAGGAGCCGTCTTTGGTCGAACAGAGCCATTCCTGCTCCCCTCTCCCACAACAACCATCATCTCGTTATAATCACTCCAGCAACCTTCCGTGCATTCGTCATCTGCATATCTCAGCCTCGATGCAGTCACATCCGTTTCTGCCACAGGCGGCGTAGCAGAGCGTTGCACGTCCTCAGCCGGACTCACCTGCTGACTCGTAGCAGCGTCGGAAGCACTCTCTGGACTGTCCAAAATGAGCACATCTGGTGCAGATCGTGGCTGTGGAAGAGTCGACGGCGGAGATCGCTTCGATGAGCTCCTGCTGGAAGGACGCCTGCTAACACCGTCTGTGCGAGATCGGCCGGGCTTGACAATGGGCCCACCCTCGGTGTTGCCGCTGATGTTGGACGTGCTTATATGGGGTATAACCTCGCCGAGGCTCGCAAGAACAGGGTGGTATTGTTGTGCTGTGGGGGGAGAGTGAGCATCCCTGTGGTTCCGACCCACTGACTGGCTTTGATGCCTGCCTTTGGCACAAGGTTCAGACTGGGAGTGGGGAAACATCGCCGCTTGACTGCACAGGTGAACCCTTTCATCCGCATGTGTCTGCGACCGCGGCATGCGTGACTGTATCGGGTGTGACAGTGAGCGGTGTGACTGTGAGCCGTCGGAGCTGGAGAACGGGAACGCGGAGGAGCACGGGCTGCTCTGATCGTCCGTCGCGGATCGCGGCCCGCCGGGCGGGGATGGAGACCCCTCCCATATAGTCTGTCGCGAATTGCATCGCCGAGTCGCGGCGTCGCCCGATGGAACGGCCTTTCTGGAACTTCGTCTGGAAGACGCCTGTCCCACGGAGGCAGACTCAGGAGATATCCCCGATGCATGCATCGTAGTGCTGCCTCCTGCAGCCTGCCTCCGTCTCCCAGCGTCTGCCTTTCCACAATCAAGGCGAATGACCGAGGTAGTGGCGCTTGAGCCTGAACCACCACGGTGGTCGCGAGAGAACGGCATCATGTCTGCTTGAGGAGCCGTAGCCGGCCGCGACCTCGTCACCTTGACGTTGCTTCGGAGCGCAGGATGATGCCCGTCCAAACGTTGCGAGCTACCGGACATATCATGGATACGCGCTACATCCGGTTCCGCTTCCCCCGCCATGATGGAGCGCCTCGTTGCATTCGCCGCGTCGTCGAGCCAGCGGAGAACCTCCGCCTGGGTCGCTCCGGAGGGGTGCGGCTGGTGAATGCGACGCGGCGAGATTATGGACGCTGGCGGCCTCCGGTGCGCCGCGTTACTCGAATGGGAAGTCGAGTGCGAAGCGATTCGGCAGGGATTGTCTTGGATGGAACCTCTACTGCGTGATCTACGGTGCGCGCCGTGCTGAGCCGGCTCGTCGTCGCGGCGGTTTCGAGAATGTTCCATGGATTCGCATTCGGCGCGGATGGGCGAGTTCCACGAGCGGCTTGCGCAGTTGAGCAAGGGATTTTCCGAGGCAACGGTAGCCATTCGCACGTGATCCGGCGTTTATTGACACTGACAATTAGCACTACTACAAGCCCAATTTGCAAAATCGTTCGTCACCTAGAGGTGAAAGAATCTCCAACAACGCTTCGCGACGTAAGAATAGAGACGCCCACACTAACGCAAATGTTCCATGGTACACCATGTCTTCACCCTTCACAATGACAAGCATGGCCATGGGCTGAAATTAGCTGGTACAGTACACGTATGTAGCTGCTGATATGACCTCCCTGAAGGGTCAAGTACACGTACCTGACTGCAAGATGGTGACGTGACGAGGGCAGAAATTCAGGCTGGCCTTGGGAATGACGAGCTGTAATGACGAATTTGGCTCGAACCTGCAGACGGGGCTAGCTGAGGCGGGACCTGGTGAAGCCTAGGGGTTGGGCGGGACGAGATTGAGCGGATGGATGAGAATCAACGGCTGAATGGGTTTCACGGCATGTGCTGGATGATGCGGTGTGCTGCCAGCGGAGGCAAGAGGCCGCGAGGCGCGGACAAGCTCCACGACATGCCCCACAAGCAGGGCAGGGAGCGCGCGACAAAACCTAGGGACGGAAAAGCTGGTTGCAGCTGGCGAAATCGGATTATTCAACCACCAGGGTGTCGCAAGCGATTCTTCGCATTTCGCCCGGTCATCATGGGCCGTTGGCGGCACGGATGTGAGATCGCTTCATGTCGTGAAAACCAGCATGGTTACGGCTCGGGTAAGTGAGGGACTATCATGCGCGGATGGCACGAGCATTGGCTGAGGGGGTCATGGGCAAGGCGAGAAGATGTGCGAGGGAAATGAGGTTTGACGAAGAAACCCGTTTGAGTCATTCTTCTCATGAAGCACAGTGATGTTAAATAGGCAATACTGGAAGTAGTACAGTACGAGGGACTAACCTAGTTTTAGCATCACTTCTACGGGTGCTGCAGTCTACACCTCTTGAAACCATCTATGTCCTGTAATAGATAGAAACACGCAGGAACAGACGATTAGACACAGCAACAGCAGCCACACAAAGGTGGGGTAAGGAATGGAGCATGAAATACAGGTGTGAGGGAAAACGAAGTACACTATCATTCCTCATCATCTCCTCACACACAGCATTCTTTGTGATTTCCTTACCAATAGCTTGCTGTGCTGTGATTCGCCGGTGTGGGTTCTTATCCAGCATAGCCCGAACAAGGTCCTTGGCAGCTTCGGACACGCCGACCCAGGCTGCTGAGGCAAAGCGCAGCGGCTCGGAGCGAATGGCTCGGAAAATACCCTCATTGGTTTCTGCCCAAAAGGGTGGCACACCACAGAGCGCTGCATATGAGACGACGCCAGCCGCCCACACGTCAGCCTGTGGAGACCAGACTCCATCAAGGGTTTCTGGCGCGAGATAGAGAGGCGTGCCACACAGGGTGCTGCTGCGCACGCCTGCAGGAGGGAGGACGGAGAAGGGGCAATGGGTTTATGTGTGGATGGAATTGATGGAAGTGATGCAGTGAAGAGGAGAAGCAGGTGAGTGTATTAGGTTTGAAGACATCATTTTTATATACTAGTTACCTGGTTGGTGCTCAGCGGCAATCCCAAAATCGATGAGCTTGATGCTGCCAAAGTCCCCCTCAGCCCTCGCTAGAAGCACGTTCTCCGGCTTCACATCACGATGCAGCACACCGCACGCGTGGCAGTGATCCAATGCCGACAGCAGCTGGAAACAGATGGACGCCGCCGCCCGCTCGGTGAGTGGTCCATTGGTACGCATGTAGTCAAAGAGGCCTCCTCCTCGACAGAGCTCCATCACGAGATGAATATTCTGGCCGCCCAGGATGGTAGAGGGGAGAGGAGTGGGGAAAGGTGGGGTGCAGTGGAGAGAGAAGATGGGAGTAGCAACGTCGAATAGGATGTCGCAGATGGGCGTGAGAGAGGGTTGGTTGTTGGTGGTTTGTTGCCGGGACGGACAATAGTCCACTCTGAGTGAAGAGGAAGCATTCATGCAGCACGAATATGCCAGCCCAAGGCCCACTCACGTGGTTCTCGTGTGCTCCTTTCTCACGGTGTTCTTAAACCTTAGTTCAAATGCACCCCACACACCTCGTGGTCCTCGAAGACAGCGTGAAGGCGCACGACATTGCAGTGCCCTGCCACTCGCTCCATCATCTCCACCTCCCTCCTCAGGTCCCGCGCTTCCTCCGCTGACTGGCACACACACGCAGCACCCAGGGTATTGTGCGGGGGAGGAAGGGGGTGCAAGAATGGGGAGAGTGAGGGTAGGGAGTGAATATATGAGGCGACACACGTGCACGACACTGAACTCACCTTTCGAGACACCTCAAAAATTCCTCTGACCACCCTCTCGATACCTCCCCCCAGCGGCGCAAGCACGTGAATGGAGTCCTTTTCAATGGACTTGCACGCCAGCATGACCCCCGTTTGCACCTCACGGCACACGCACACGACGCTGAACTCGCCCATGGCCACCACCTCGTTACCCCCTCTAACCACCCAGCTCACTCACGTGAATAGAATCCTTCTCGATGGTCTTGCACGCCAGCATGACGCCCGTCTCCACCTCGCGGCACACGCGCACGACACTGAACTCGCCCATGGCCACCACCTCGTGGCGCCGCACCTCAAACTGCTCCGCGATGTCGCTGTACGGCTGCCCCAGCACAAACGCGCGGAACACCGCGTCCATCCCCACTCGGTGCCGCCGCGGCCCCACCCACCCCCTCCGCTCCTCCTGTGCCTCTGCTATGGCTGCCCCCTGCTGCTGCTGCTGGGGGTGCTGCTGGTGCTGGATGGAGGGGTGATTGACCTGTGGGTGCTGCTGCTGCTGCTTGTGCTGCTCCAGTGCGTCTAGTCGCTGTTGAATGCGCAGCCCCTTTTGCACCATCGCAGCATCATGAGCTGTGAACAACGCACTCAGCTGCTGCTGCTGCGGCAGCGGCTGTGGCAGTTGATGGAAATGATTCTGCTGCTGCTGCTGCTGCTGCGGCGGCGACTGCTGCTGTTGCTGGTGCATATGCGGAAAGGCGATTCGTTTCTGCGCGAGAAGCGCCTGCTCCCTCTCGTCACCCGGCGAACCCCGCGTCGCACTCGCAGGTGAATACCCACTGCTGCTAACAGGAGAATACTCCCTCCCACCGCCAACTGCATGCTCCCCAGCCGGCCCTACAAGCCCAGGCAGACCCCCTTCGTCCTCCTCCCGCTCCTGCTCCCACCCCATCTGCCACTCCCGCTCCAGCACCCTCGTCGCTTCATCCTCCCCCTCAGGCGTCCGCGGACTCGGTCCCACTGCTGCTACTGCCCGGGACACTATCCCCCCCCCCACTCCGCCCATCCCTGCTGCCCCCGCTGCTGCCCCGAATCCGCCCACTCCGCCCACCCCTCCCCCTGGTGCTCCCCCTGCCGCGCCTCCCCCTGCTCCTAGCGCCGCCCCTGCGCCCCCCCCGCGGGCGGCCATTCCGCCTTGCATGAGCGCGGAGCTATCAAGGGACATGGTGCGGTGATGCTGATGCCGCACCCCCCTCTCCACCACTGACCCGTACTGTCCCCTTCCCCGCACCAGTCCTCCTCCCATCCCCGCTCCTGACCCCGCTCCTCCCGGACCTCCCCCCACAGGCCTTCTGTCATTACTCCCCCCACTGGCGGATCTGAGCACTCCGCCCATCCCCCCTCCTCCGCCCATCACCCCCGCTGCCCCTGCGCTGAGCCTTCTTCCCTCTTCCCCCTCCCCGCCCCGCTCGCCCCACTCGCTGCTGACCCTCCGCAGCGCGCGCGGCGGCTTTGCCGTCGCAACAGGGGGAAGGCCGTCCATTCTGTTACCACTGCCACTGTTCGACCTAAAAAATGCATGCCCGGAACCAGTATTGGATCTTAAATACACCTGGCCGCTACCCGCCTCCACGCTACTTCCCCATCCGCCACCTCCGCCACTTTCCCCTTGCTCCCCTTCCAGATCAAGCCTATCCACCCCCAATCCATCCCCCAAAGCTGATGCGCCATCCCCCGCGAAACCCCCGCCCCCTGCGCCCCCGAATCCCCCTCTGTCCGCAGGGAGCAGATCCGCCAATTGTCCCATGGACCGCATCCGCGGGCGGTGTCCGCGCACTGGGGGAGGGGCCCCGCGCGAATGGAGCGCCGGGGGGGCAGCGGGGGGTTGCGGAGACGCCTGCTGGCGCAACTGGTGCTGGTGCGCGGCGGACATCTGCGCCGAAGGAGCGTGCGGCTGCGGCGCGAATCGCTGCGCGTGGCTTGCGCCTCCCCCGCGCCCAGCGCCAGCGGCAGCAGCCGCGGAGTCGACCATCCCCGGCCGCATCGCCGGCGAAGTGGTGGCTTTCTGAAGCCGCCGCTGATTGGCTGAATCTATTACTGGAAGCGATATCTGCCGCTGATACTGCTGCTGCAGCTGCTGCTGGTACTGCTGCTGCTGGTATTGCTGCTGTTGCTGGTGGTACTGCTGCTGCTGCTGGTGCTGTTCTTGCGTCAGCAGCAGTCGCTGCATCTGCACCTGCTGCACCTTCGGCTCATCCCCGCTCACATCCAGAACCTCCCACGTGCTCGTTTCAGCGCGCGACGCCGACATCATGCGCCGATGCATCCGCTGCGGCGGGGTCCGCTGCGGGTACGCCCCCTGCTGCGGAGGCTGCTGGAAAGGTTGCGCCGACGGCGGTGGCTGCGCCGGCGGCTGCTGCGGCCGTGAGACTCCGCCACCAGGCAGGGCCATTCCTCTTGCCGAGCCTAAGTTAGGTCCGGAGCTGAAGCTACCCGGGGCAAACGCTGCCGGGCCTGCATTTGGCGCGGGCATTTGACCTCTCACGGCGCCCAACGGTCTTCGCGGACCGTCGATCGCGTTAAGCTTTCGTGCCGGCTGCGACAGAGAACGGTTGAAACCGCGCGAATCGCTCGCAACGTTGCCAGCTGCGGTCCCTGCTCCCCCCGCGTTTCCCCCCATCCTGGCGGAAGCGGCTGGCGGGGGGATCCTTGCGCGGACCTGCGCGGGACCAAACCATCCAGTGTCGGCGGAAGGCATCGTTGCGAGCTCGTGATTTTCGTCGTCCGAAAGGGTCGGCGACTCTGGAGAAACCGATGTGCGACTGTTAGTCGCAAGGACTTCCGTAGCTTGGAAGTCCTGCGACGGTTTGCGGGGTCGCACAGCCTCGCATCGCAGCAGCTGCGGGACGGGCTCGTCGTCGTCCATTGGATCGGGGAAACAAGCGGGAGAAACGGAGAAGTACCTCTCTCCTAAAGCGCTGACGTCATGCAGAATCTAGCTGAAAGGAAACTGTAACTGAAGAGTACGGGTAATGTGATGCTGATGATCTGAGATTCTGAGGGTATTCTTGAGGCATTCCCGAAATCAGGCGACAGTTTCGAGAAACAGGAATGAAACAGCCCCCTCGGGACTGGACGGAATTGTGCTTGTACAGTCCCGAGGGATCTCGATGTTGGAGGGGCCACAGTTGGAATGGGTTGGTGGGACAAGGGCTGTCGCGTAGCGGCATTTGCCACCCAAATTCACAAGATATAGGACTGAACAGAACCTGAACACTGTTTTGTTGAGACCTCTACAGACGCTTGCTTATATAATGCAGATAACTTACACTCACATCACCGTGACATCCACATTCTTTGCCCCTTTGAGAACTGCTTGGATCCCTCTTGACAGCTGCTCTATTTTAAACGGCTTCACTGCATACCCATCCATCCCCGCTTCATAGCACTGCTCTTTATACCCTGCCATGGCATGTGCCGTCAATCCCAAAATGGGAATCCCTCCTCTTGCTTGCGGGGACCGTTTATTACCAGCATTACCTGCTTCAAATTGCCGTATTCTTTTTGTTGCCTCCAAGCCATCCATAACAGGCATCTGTGCAGAGGAATAATGCACAAGATGACGGCGCAAGGTGAACAGAAGGAAAGAGAGATAAGGAGAGGAGCCAATAATGAGACACCATTCGCAACACAGGCACTGCCCCAATTCCACTCCACCCCATCACCCACACCCACCCTCACCTGAATATCCATCAGAATGACGTCGAACGACGCCGCCCGCTCCTCAATGGCAGTGAGCGCCAGCTGTCCGTTACCAGCAATCTCCACCGTCGCGCCCACCTTGGTGAGAGCATGCTTGGCCACGCGCTGGTTGACCATGTTGTCCTCTGCCAGCAGCACTCGCACCCCCGCCAGTAAGAGTGCCCCCCGAGCTCGGCTGGAGGGCACCAGAGGGCCTGACATGGACTTCACAGGCGTGCGCACCCGTGCTACTGCCGCTGGTGCTATAGCGCCTGGCACTGCTGCTGCTGCTCTAGATACTGCTGCTGGTGCGATAGCTCCGGCTGGTTCTGCTCGAGAAGCTGCTGCCGGTGTACCAGATGCTGCTGCTGGTGCTACAGACAGTGAGGATTTTGCTGTTGGCTTGCTCTGTGACGCCTGTACATTCGAAACCAGGGGAGGAGCAACACCAACGCTCCCAGCACCAGCAGTAGCACCAAATCCAATGCTGACGCTGCTGATGCTTCCAGTTGTGGTGACAATTGTGGTGGCGGAGGCAATGGTAGCGGCAGAGGATGTGGTAGCGGAGGAGCTAGAGGTGGAAAAGAGTGAGGACGAGGAGGTGGAGGAGCACGAGGGCCGTCCAGAGCTTGCACCTGTACCTGAGTCTGATCCTTCCAGGCTGATCCTTCCAGGCTCCACTTGCCTGCCCGTGCTCCCAGTTTGTAACCCCATGGCCCTGACTGTGTCAGCAGGCCCTCCCCCACCAGCCACAGCATCAGCTCCCTGCCTCGATCGCACCTCTCCTGCTGCTGCTGCAGCTGCAGCATGCACCTGAGGAGCACCCTGAAGCTCCAGCTTGGCGGGTGGAGAAGCAAATTGCTGATGTTTACGTGTGGATGGCTGAGCTGCCGGGGCTGAGGTAGCGATGGCCTTATGCGATTGCTGAGCCTGCTGGTGTGCCTGCTGCTGTGCCTTCTGGGTTGCAACGGAGGGGCCAGGCAGCGGGAAGGGAGTTCCTTGGAGGAGACTTGGCAAGGGCTTCACAGGCAGTGAGCGCACGGAGCGAAGGGGGGCAGATGGGAGTGAGGCTTGGGCAGAAGGGGCAGCAGCTGCGTTTGCCACTCCTCCTGCTGATGCTGATGCTGCTGTTGCTGCTGCTGGTGGGACAAACAATGGCGGGTCTTTTGGTGCTGCCGGACCAAACACTCCTACACCTGATGTGGATGTTCGGCCATACGAGGCAGCCCTGGTGTGTGAGACGAACCTAACCGCCTTAGTGCGGCCAGCAGCAGCACCAGCAGCAGCAGCTTTACCAGTAACACTCACACCAGCAGCAGCAGCTTTACCAGTAACACTAACACCAGCAGCAGCAGCTTTACCAGTAACACTCACACCAGCAGCAGCAGCTTTACCAGTAACACTCACACCAGCAGCAGCAGCTTTACCAGTAACACTCACACCAGCAGCAGCAGCTTTACCAGTAACACTCACACCAGCAGCAGCAGCTTTACCAGTAACACTCACACCAGCAGCAGCAGCTTTACCAGTAACACTCACACCAGCAGCAGCAGCTTTACCAGTAACACTCACACCAGCAGCAGCAGCTTTACCAGTAACACTCACACCAGCAGCAGCAGCTTTACCAGTAACACTCACACCAGCAGCAGCAGCTTTACCAGTAACACTCACACCAGCGGCAGCAGCAGCCGCAGAACCCTTGGCTGCTCTTGCCATGCCTGCTGCCCCACCTTCTCTCCCAGCTCCTGCCCCCAAACCTCCCTCGCTCTTCCCCGCAGCCTCACCTCCCCCAGTCACCACCTCCCCTCGCTGCAAAGCCGAAGCAGACTCCACAGCAGCAAGGTGCAGCAGCAGCAGTCCAGGGTCAGAGCGGCGGTGCTCCAGGCGTCTTGGGGGGAGCTGCCAGAGGGAGGCGAGGTGCGGCGGGGGGAAGCGGTAGAACTGCGATGACACTTGGCTTCGCAGCTCTAGCTCCTGCATCTGCTGCCGCTGCCACGCCTCTTGCTGCTGCTGCTGCTGCTGCTGCTGCTGCTGCTGCTGCTGCTGCTGGTGTTGAAGCTGCTGCAGCTGGTCTTGCTGCTCGTGCTGCTGCTGTTGCGGGTCCTGCTTGTTCTGCCCATGCTGCTGCTGTCGCCTCAGCTGCTGCAGCTTCTGCTGCTGCAGAAGCAAAATTTGCCGCTGCTTCTGCTGGGGGGTTGGCTGGAAAAGCACAGGGTCAGACACAATCTCAGCAGCACCAGGCGCCTGCTGCTCAGGCAGAGGGCCCAGCAGCGGGTGATAGTGCCCACCTGATAAACCACCTGGGAACCCGTGGCCCACACCTGAAAAACCACCTGGTGATGCTGCAGCGGTCACAGCTGCTGCTGCAGTCAGTGCTTCTCTCTCTGCTGCAGTCATGCCTCTGTATGAGCGCGACCGTCCCAGCCAGGGGGAGTGAGGGAAGGCTCCAGGGAACATGGGAGGGAGGAGAGGGGCGAGCGAGGGGGGAGGAGGAGAGGCGGTGAGGGGAGCGAGAGGGGGGGATTTGGGTGCTCTTGGGGCTGTGGTGGGAGGGGCGTCAAGGGCTGTGTTGCTCAAGCTAGTAGTAGAGGCGGCAGCACCAGAGGAAGCAGTGGTAGTGGTAGCAGAAGCAGTGGGAGCAGAAGAAGGAGCAGCAACAGCAGCAACAGCAGCAGCAGCAGCAGCAGCAGCAGCAGCAGAGGCAGCAGAAGAAGCAGCAGCAGAGGCATCGGGGACAGCGGAGAGGGACGGGGAGCGTCTGCGAGCAGGAGGAGGCAAGGGGAGCGCAGGGTCCTTGTTGGACGGGCTCCTCTGTAGCTGTGGTACGGCAAGCGACACCGAGGGGCGTGCCTGGGAGGAGGAATGAAGCGACACCGAGGGGCGTGCCTGGGAGGAGGAATGAAGCGGCAGAGAGAGCGCACTAGCAAGAGCACCTGCACTAGTAGACCCTGTGACTGATGTAGCAGTCATCATGACATCACCTCTTCTAGAGCTGCTGCTGGTGAGATCCTCTACTTCCAAGGCTGACACTGCCGCAGCTGCTGCAGGCTCGTAGCTGCCTCCAGACCTGCTGCCTCTCATGCTTGCCAGGCCAGGGGCTGAGGTTCGAAGAGCCGAAGCTGTTCTGGAATCATCCCAAGCCATGCCTGGCATTTCTCCCAAGCCTACCGCCGTCCCTGCGGGATTGGCTGG